TCGCGACTACTCCAGATTCCCGGTTGTCCATACGACCAAAATCAACCTCTGTCCTCGTACCATCATCCCCATCCTGGACGACATCTCGATGTTCGGATTCCCGAGTTATGAGAACAGACAACGAGACCCTCCGTTAATGACATGAGTTCGCTCAGTTCGCGAACTACATCGGCTTCAAGCACCGCAAGATCACCCTGCTGTGGCCAAGAACTAACGGAGAAGCAGAACGTTTCATGAGAATGCTAGCAAAAGCTGTGAAACGCTGCTGTCGTCGAGAAACGCCCGATCAAGCAGGAAATGGACAAGTTCTACGAAACTACCGATCGACACCGCACACCACTACTCAGAAGAGCCCGGCTGAACTACTTGTACGGTCGCACAGTGAAGATCATGCTGCCGTCTCCGATGATGACACATCCGGAGGATGGAAAACTACGCGAGACGGACACAGCCGCGAGAAGAAGGTGAAGAACAAGCTGACCGTGGAGCCAAGACAACGAATCTTCAGATCGGAGACCAGGTTCTGCTGCCCGAATTCAAGAAGGGAAAGCTGACACCTCGGTTCTGCCCAGCGCCGTACGAAGTAACCGGAATCCAAGGCACCATGGTCACCGCATCACGTGGATGTCACCAGGTGACGAGAAACGCGTCGCTATTCAGAGCGCGCCCGCACCTCCATGCACAAGACGCTGATCACTCCGAAGAAGAGGACGAAGAACAGGCGATGGATGACATCCTCGAGTCCATGCAGCGCCACACCCCTACTCTCCGCGCCGCTACTGCGTCCTCCCACGCCACGACGTCGTCTCCGGCGCCAGTGTGTTCCCCGACCATGCGTCACCGCGCGCGGCGCCAGCCCGCGTGGATGAAGGACTATGTGTAAGCAATCATCTGAAGAAGAGGAGGGATGTAGCGTCTATGTATCGTTGAAATCAAAGTAATTCACAGTCCCCTGTATTAGCACACCCTCCTGGGCTACCATATGAAATAAACCCCTGCTTGACCTTGCGAGAAATATAGTTTCCCCACCGACCGTTACTGTGCGTTTTATGGTTCCCACCGAACCAGACCATGCGCGAGCTGATCCAGCTCCATAAACACCACAACACACACACATACGCACACGCATGCACGCACGCGCACGCAAGCACGCGCACACGCACACACACACACACACACACACACACACACCACACACACACACACACACACACACACATATATATATATATATATATATATATATATATATATAACTTACAAGCGAGAAGTGATAGGAGAAACGCGCGCTCCCGTTTGCACCATCAGGTTTCTAATCCGACGGATCTTTCAATCCCTCTTTCCCAAATCTGCCTATGTCTCAGATGTTTTCATGAAGGGATTGCATCAGTAGCATACCTTTTTTCATCACGTTTGGTCATTGAATGATGACCCGGATGACCCACCTTGTTGATAGCGCAAGAAATACATCAAGAGAGAGAGAGAGAGAGAGAGAGAGAGAGAGAGAGAGAGAGAGAGAGAGAGAGAGAGAGAGAGAGAGAGAGAGAGAGATGAAGAGAGAGAGAGAGAGAGAGAGAGAGAGAGAGAGAGAGAGAGAGAGAGAGAGAGAGAGAGAGAGAGAGAGAGAGAGAGGAGAGAGAGAGAGAGAGAGAGAGAGAGAGAGAGAGAGAGAGAGAGAGGAGAGAGAGAGAGAGAGAGAGAGAGAGAGAGAGAGAGAGAGAGAGAGAGAGAGAGAGAGAGAGCTGGTCAAGAGTGGTCACATTGCT